GATTCTCTGAGGATCCCCTATGATAGCTTTTTATGGGAACTGAATTGTGATTTGAGACTGGAACAGGACTCTAAGTACTCGTTTAAGAAGGAAGACTTAGCCTCAGGAGCACGTGGGCTTCATGGCCGAGGACAGACTGTGTCTGCTTGGATCATGCAATTCTTTCCACGATTCTTTGAAAAGCACTTTGCTCATTCAAACCAGTTCTTTGAATCTTGGGGAAACTGCACACAGGTTCTATAGATGTTCATTATTTGGTTTTGGATAGTAGTGCTGTTTCTTGGATCAGGGAAGAAGTTTATATTTCCCACTAGGAAAGTCTTCGGAAGAAGAATGGTTCAATGTGATAGACTGACGCAAAGGGAACTCCAAAGAACCTTAGAAAATGCGACCTCTCAGCCTGTCGTTCTATGGATGAGGAAATTAAGACCCAAGTATAACTGCCACCTGCCTAAATGGTGACACATTATTGTGTGCTCTGATGTGTGCATTGTGTTCTAATTCTGAAAATCATGTTTCGAATTACTGCCTGTTAGCGTCGCGCCGGTCCTTTGACTTTTTCTGTTTCTGGTACTTGTTGCTTCTCCATGAGGTTGGCACCACATGTGGTAGCACAACCCTCTTCGGAGCATTTTTCAATCACGTGGGGGCCGATCTCGCTAGTGCAAACATTTGCACTCTACGCTTTACGGTTTGCACTGTTGTGACGATGACAAAATACTCTCACAGAAGCGGCGTGAGGAAGGCAGGGTTTACTCCGGCTTGAGGTTTTGAGAGGACAGCCTGTCATCTCCGGGAAGCCGTGGCGGCAGGGAGGAGTCACGTTGTACCCATTGCCAGGGGAACAACGGACAAAGGCCTGGTGCTCAGCTCCGTGTCCCGTTGTGTTTCTTTCCTAGACCGCAGCCCGTGTGATGGCGAGGCCCATCTGTAATCTTCAGTCCTCAGTTCACCCTTCTGGAAACACCCTCGCAGACACACCCAGAAGTGTGTTTTCATGGTGATTCTGAGTCCAGTCAAGGGGACAATGAGGACTAACTGTGACACACACCATCACTTCTGTTTGTCTGCCACACCTCTCCACATAGGTTTAATATATAATAAGGTTTGAGTTTCTCACATCGAAAGGGGTGACATACTGATCTCCACATTTTCTTTATTATTAAGAATTTTTCTATTCATTTTACATACCAACCACAGGTCCCCCTCTCCTCCCCCTCCTGCCCTCCCCTTTTCCCCCAATTCATCCCCTATTCCCACCTCCTCCAATGCAAGGTCTCCCATGGGGAGTCAGCAGAGCCTGGTCCATTCAGGCAGGTCCAAGGCCCTCCTTGCACCAAGGCTGTGTAAGGTGTCCCATGATAGGCACTGGGCTCCCAAAAGTCCACTCATGCTCCAGGGATGGATCCTGATCCCATTGCCAGGGGCTCCTTAAGCAGGTCACACTAAACAACTGTCTCACCTATGCAGAGGGCCTAGTTCAGTCTCATGGAGGTTCCACAGCTCTTGGTCCACAGTTCATGATTTCCCAATAGTTTGGTTTGGTTCCCCCTGTAGGTTTCCCCATCATGATCTTGATGCCCCTTGCTCACAGAATCCCTCTTCTTTCTCTTCGACTGGACTCCTGGAGCTCAGCCTGTTTTTGGCTGTGAATCTCTGCATCTGCTTCCATCAGTGACTGGATGAAGGCTCTATGATGATAGTTAAAGTGTTCACTGATCTGATTACCAGAGTAGGCCAGTTCAGGCACCCTCTCCACTATTGTTTGTAGTCTAAGGTAGGGTCATCCTTGTGGATTCCTGGGAACTTCCCTAGGACTCTTGTTTCTCCCTGTTCCCATGATGTCTCTCTGTATCATGGCCTCTCTTTCCTTGCTCTCTTCACTCTGTCCCTGTTTCAGCTCAACCATCCCATTCCCTTATATTCTCATCCCCCATCCCCTACCCTCCATTGTCCCCCCTCACCCCCAGTTTGCTCATGGTGATTTCCACTTCCCAGGGAAATCCACCCATCCCTTTTAGGGTTCTCCTTGTTATCTAGCTTCTCTGAAGCTGTGAGTTGTAGTCTGGTTATCCTTTGCCTTACATCTAATATCTGCTTATGATTGAGTACATACCATGTTTTTCCTTCTGAGTCTGGGTTACTTCACTCAGGACGATATTTTCTAGTTCCATCTATTTGCCTGCAAATTTCATGATATCTTTGTTTTTTACTGCTAAGTAGTACTCCATTGTGTATAAGTGCCACATTTTCTTTATCAAATTTTCAGTTGAGGGGCATCTAGGTTGTTTCCAGATTCTGGCTATTACAAATAAAGATGCTATGAACATAGTTGAGCATGTGTCCTTGTGGTATGATTAAGCATTCCTCGGGTATATGCCCAAGTGTAGCATGAATCTTTAAAAGTTCTTATTAATAAAATCAAACCTGAGCCAGGTGTTGGGGTGAACTGGAAGATCAGAGAGACAGAACAAGCCACAGCTAACCTCACCTGGCCAGCTTCTCAGCTGATCTTCTCAGACTGGATGCTTCTGTGTCCTCATCCCAAATGGCTCTCAGCTGAACTGCTGCCCGAAAGCCTGAAAGCTTAACCAGGCCAAATGCTTAACCAGCCAAATGCTTCTGGTTTCTGGTCCTCACGCCTTATATACCTTTCTGCTTTCTACCACCACTCCCTGGGATTAAAGGCTTGCTTTCTGGGATTCAAGGCATGATGAGTCACCATGCCTGTCTGTATCCTTGAACACATGGATTTCTGCCTCTGGAATGCTAGGATTTAAGGCGTGTGCTACCACTGCCTATCCTTTATGCTTAATGTTGTGGCTGCTCTGTCTCTGACCCCAGATAAGTTTATTAGCATACACAATATTTGGGGGAATACAATACCACACCCAAGAGTGGTATAGCTGGGTCTTGAGGTAGATTGATTCCTGATAATCTGAGAAACCACCATACTGATTTCCAAAGTGTCTGTATGTTTGCACTCCCACCAACAGTGGAGGACTATTCCCCTTGCTCTGCATCCTCTCCAACATAAGCTGTCCTCAGTATTTTTGATCTTAGCCATTCTGACAGGTGTAAGATGGTATTTCAGAGTCATTTTGATTTTCATTTCCCTGATGACTAAGGATGTTGAACAATTCCTTAAATGTCTTTCAGCCATTTGTGATCTCTACTTATTTATCTCCTTCCAACAGATTTTCTTTTTTAACTGAAAAAAAAAAAACCTGTTTAGATGTTCTCATAACATAATGCTATTTGCCAAATGATAGGTCAACTAACTTGATTTAATCATTCCACAATGTATAGTTCTACCAAAACATCATGCTGTACACTAAAAATGATAGACCTTATTTTGTCAATTTAATCTAGTAATAAAATGCACATAAGATAAAGAAAAATTTAAAGTATGCTAAGACTAGGCTCACAGTTTGATGTTTGCCCTGGCTTGGTAACTTTGCTTTTGACTTAACTTAGTTTTTTTTTTTTGTTGTTGTTGTTGTTGTTTTTTTTTTTTTGTTTTTTTTGTTTTTTTTTTTTTGAGACAGGGTTTCTCTGTGTAGCTTTGCGCCTTTCCTGGAACTCACTTGGTAGCCCAGGCTGGCCTCGCCAGGCGGATCTCTATGAGTTTGACTTAACTTAGTTTTGATGCAAGGTTAAAGATAAGCAGACATGAAGAGGCTGTAGTTTCTATTATCTGTAATTTCATTTTCTGCAGTTCCAATTACCTGTAGTCATGCTCCAAAAATTAAAAAAAAATGTAAAATTCTGGTAGTTGTGTACCATTTAAAGTAAGATGATGAAGTTTCATGGATTTTAGTACCATACTGACCGAGTTTTAAATCATGACTTTGTCCAGCCTAGGGCAGTCTCCACTGTGAGTTGCCATTCTGCCCATCATTTAGTAGCCATGTGGGCCATTCCATATGTTCTCAGAGCTTCAGACTTTTGTGTTCGATAACTCCTATTGTGTATGTATTAGTAGCCTCAAACTACCAGACTTATAAGACTGACCATTTGATATGACAAAGAAAAACTATAAATAACTTCATCTAAGTGAAACATGGAAGTTTCTGACATAATTAGGACACAGAAAACTGAAACAACCCAAGACTGGAGCTATAACATGGTTGATAGAAGGCTTCCTAACATGCATGAAGCCATGGGTTCATTCTACAACACAGAGAGAGAGAGAGAGAGAGAGAGAGAGAGAGAGAGAGAGAGAGAGAGAGAGAGAGAGAAAGAACAAAACAAAAACAAACACCTGAACAAAGCAGGCATGACGGCTCATGACTGTAATTCTAACAGAGGCAGGAGAATCAGCAGTTTAAGGTCACCCTCAGCCACACATGGAATTGAGAGCCAGCAGCCTGAGATACATAACAACCTCCCTTCCAAGAAAGGCCAATGAAAGTGCTCATGTGATGAGTGTTGTTATTGTTCATCTGTAGACAGTAGTCCCTCAAAAATGTTCCTCTGTGTTCCTGTGAAACATCACAGTGAAGAATAAATGAGATTTGAGTGCAGAATTAATGTAATCCAGTCTTATCTAAGGTGTATTTGCTGAGGCCCTTGGAAGATTCTGCCCAGTGTTTAAAGTTGGAGGTACTGTGATGGCCAGTTCCGATGTCCCTTAATGCATGTCAGTTTTCTTTTGACATCTCTGTTTGCAGGCCTGCTAAATATGGTAAGGTGATTGAGCTTCTCAAAATTGCCAATTAATCTAGTTAATTACAACATCTGAAGCTGCCACCATCCTATCCTTACCTCTTTCCTGGAGACTCAAATACCTTTCTAGGACATCACAGGAAAAGGGGTTTACCAGATATTTTCCACTTTCTAAAATAAGTTGCCATTTCTCTAACCTTCTCTGATAGTGCCTCCTTGCTAGCTGAGTGCACAAGTCAGTCTCTGTTTTCTGAACCCAACCTCAGATGGTCTCTCTTCTATAAAGCCATGCCAATGTCTTTGCACTCCCAACAACATAATTTGCTTTTTTGTCTTGCCTCTTGGAGATTCATTGCCAATATTGCCTCCAGTGATGATTACAATGATTGCTGACTTTCAGGAATGTTTTTATTTCCCCCCCAGGAATCCAGGCTAATGAGATATGATGTCATTTTAGGAGGCTGGGTGAAGTTGAATGTGCCAACACAATTTTAAGCTTACTTTTGGTTGTGGCTTCTACGGCACTGGTATATTCCATGGCTCAAAGAAGTCACATGGCCACACTTAAAGTTTGTAGTCGAGAACTGCATGCTGCCTTCAGGGAAACATGGTAGGGATGAATACCAGAGGGTGAATTTTTACCGGAACTGACACAGTTTGATTGACCTAGGAATGTATAAACTGTGCTCAAATTGTGAGGTTTGACTTATTTTTGTTTTTGTTTTTGTTTTGCTTGTTGTACTTTGATATTTTAAGATTAGAACATACTCAGTAGAAAGTGAATTTTGAACTCCATGCTCTTTCTGGACTTGTGGCCTGAATGCTGGATGGCGCTGGTGAATCACATGACTCCCAGTTATGTGCCCTGTCATGAGAATGAACAATCTCGTCTATCATGTACCATATTGCTAAGCAGTGATGCTCCTCCGGTAGGCAGGCAATGTTTCCTCAACTCAGCACTTTTCAGTTCCCAGTAGGTCTGTGAGATGAGTGTCACTGTATACACTGAAGAACGTCTGTAGTGGAAAAAGGGAAGCGGATCACTTTCTTAGGTCCCCACAAACCCACAGTCACTCCCTTCAACAGGTTTCTATCGCCACCCTGACTAAATATTATGCACTCCTTCAAAATCTATAAAGAACTCTAGGTTTCCTTTCTTCTGCCTGTTTTGGAAATTATAAAACGACTGTATCTTTAAGTCAATGGAAAAGCTTTATCCCTGGACTACTAGAGGGCAGCATCCCAGTCCCACTGTGGAACACATAATGACAGCCAGCAGGAGAAATCAGAGTTGAATGGATGGCAGCAGAGGGTTTGGAGCGTTTAAACCTTCAACAGCCTTGTTCTAAAGTGAGATTCTTCCTATGGGAACATCTAAGGCTTAGAACAAGACATGGAAGTCCTTTAGTTTTGTGTCTGCAGAATAGGGCCCACAGCTACCAAATAATACTGCCTGCCCCAAATCTACAAGTTGAAGTGCCAGGTGACCTGTTCGTTGACACATACCTAGAATGTGACTGTATAAATATTATTTATACAGTTTGGTACCAATCAGAAAATGTTATTTACATCTGTAATGTTTGTGTGGTTGCCTTTTCTAGGCACATGCTTAAAAACCTTTATAGTTATTCAGGCGTATTAATTCACTTAGGTATAACCAAAACAGAAAAGCAATAGAGGCCAACACAGAAATATTTTTCATTTAGATACAAGTTTGGCTTATTTTTAATTCACTTTATGATCGTATTTGACTAATTAAAACCATTTTCAAGGTATGTTTTTAAAAGACCCAAAAGAGCAAGAAAGCAACTGTGTACGTACTATTAACTCAAAGTATTTTGTATTTATTATATAATGGTGTGACTACACTCAGCTACTTTGAGGACATATACTTTTCCTACACTTCTCACTTGAGCACTACAGCTAATAGCACCACTATGGTACTTTTCAATACTTCTTTGGGGTTTTGCTGACAGTGGTTAATGTCTTCATTTTCACTGAACAGTTTATAATGGATACCATGTGTATTGTATATTTTTCACAGCTTTGTCTATGGAATGTACAGGAACCTAGCCAGATCATAGTATTCCTTCTAGCCAGTGTCCAGGGGGAGCATTTAGACAGTCTAGTTCCCTCATGATATTATCATTACGACTCAAAGGAGGTGGGGGCAGAAACTGTAGAATCCTGTGACCTAACCTGACTTAGCCCTGAGTGACAGAGATATGTGTCATAAATGAAACTAAGTGCCCAGGATTCTGAAAGGAACAATGGCTCACAGGAGAGACCCACTGTCCGGTGGCTAGAGGAGTCAGTAGACCGAAGCGGCTCATCTTGGTGACACGAAAGACTGTGTGGCCCCATGTCTCTGGCCAGACCAACTCACTTTGTTGTGATCATTTAATCCTGCTCGAATGGTACTGTTCCTCCCAGAAACTTTGAGTAGATTCTAGCTTATTTCTGATTCATATTATTGAGGCTATAATAATAATAATAATAGTTAATAATGATGTGGATTTTTTTTCTTACTTGATGTTTGAAAAATGAGTATTTTAGTGGGAGAGTCAGAAAAGTATTCTCTGGCTATGTACTTTTGCTAGAAATATCCAGGGATTTTTAAGGATTCCTTTCTTAAGGCCAGTATTAATTTAATCCTTTTGAAATCGAGGAGGAATCTAAGGGCTAGTGTGATACTTTTTTGTTGTTTGGTTTGGTTTGGGTTTTCTGTTTATTTGTTTTTGTTTGTTTGGTCAGTTTGACACAAGGCAGGTTCATCTGGGGAGAGGAAACTTCAACCTAGAAAAATGCCTCTACAGAGTTGGCCTGTAGGCAAGTCTGTGGGGGTGTTTCCTTCATTAATGGTTAATATGGGAAGACACAGGCAGCTGTGGGCAGTGCTACCCCTGGGCAGGTGGTCCTGGGTTGTCTAACAAAGCAGGATAAACCAGCCAGGAGGAGCAAGCGAGTAAGCGGGTTCCTCCATGGCCTCTGCTATCAGGTACCCACCTTGAGCCCTGCCCTGACTTCTTTCATGATTGACTGTAAGCTTTAAGATAAAACAAATCCTCTCCTTCACATATGGCTTTTGGTTATTGTGTTTATCACAAGAGGAAGTGAAGCAGGACATTCAAGATGTCCATGTAGATTGATCCCAAATCTCTCAAGTCCTGTTCAAGTTTTCTGAGACTGTCACATACGTTGTTCTGAGACTGTCACTAGGCATGAGGAGGAAAGTTCTGGCCTTGTTCTGAGAAGTTCTAAGCATTTTATGCATACCCCAGGTTCTGTCTCATCAGAAATTCAGTATTGATAGTGGGAGATCCAGCTCTCTATGGTCTCATCACCTGAACCAGACTGTCTGGTTTGGGTGGTAGGATTACAGGCAAGATTTTTCTTTCTTTTTACATAATTTTTTTTTCATTTTACATAACAACCACAGTTCCCCCTTCCTCCCCTCTTTCTGCTACCTTCCCCAACCTCCCCTCCACCCCACCTCACATCTACTCCTCAAAGAGGGTAAGGTCTCCCATGGGGAGTCAATGAAGTTTGGCATATCAAATTGAGACAGGACTAAGCCCCTCCTCCTGCATCAAGGCTGAGCAAGATTTTTACTTCTAATGACTCCTAACATCATCACAGCCCTGGGCCACTGGATTCGACTCTCTTAATATAAATAGAACAACCAGCTACTGAATACAACCATCTTATAGAGAGCAGATTTATATGTGCATATTAAAGCTTTGTATTTTAGCACTTTTATGTAATAAAGCTTATAATAGAAAAATAATATGCATTCATCATATAATCTTTATAAAACTTTTTAAAGCCCCACAAGTTATACAGAGCTACTTCCCAAAAACTATTTGCACTTAATAGCTTTTTATGTGTTGCTCTAGGTAATTTGTATGTATATATAAGCACATGCACATTGTATGGTTAAAGGAAAATCTTCCCTAGTCCCCTCCAGAAGCTTTCTTGAATGGGCCCACAACGGATAAATTAATAGGGAAATGACATATTTTTTTGTTTGGTTTTGAGGTAGGATTTTACACATCCTCTGGGCTGGCCTCAAACTTGAGATCCAACTTTGTCAGCCACCTGAGACAATAACAGGCAGGGGCCACCATGTCAGGTAGTACATATAAACGTACTTAACCTGTACAGTGGTGACTAATGGGAGAATGATTACCTACCTGCCCAGGGAGATTTCAATGGTTACTTCCATTCAGGTATGGAGGGAATGTGGACCATTCCCTCTGAGGGGTAGTAAGAGTTGTTTGTCTTTGTTTGTTTGTTTGTTTGTTTATTTATTTCAGGAGAATAGAGGGAATTTAGAGAAAAAAAAAGAAAACCTATTTGCAAACAATTATCTCTGGAATTTGAATGCATTCAAAAGACAGACTTCTATGAACAGCATATTCTATCTGTGCAAATTGAGGTCATCAATCGCCACTTCTGCCTTGTTATCCATGAGATTTTAAGGTGATGGTGGAAAATAATTGTGTTCTGTCAGATCTAGCATTAAAGAGGATCAAAGGATAAGATATGGAGGCATGATGGCCAGCAATTATAATTCTCAGATTGTTTCTGTATCTCCACACTTTGTGGTATTGTTCACTCAGCCAAACACCATACCGGTATACCTGTGCAGTACATACTTTAAAACACATAGAAGCTGACTGGAGAGGTGGCTCAGCAGTTAAGAGCACCTTCTGCTCTTGTAGATGACCTGGGTTTGGTTTCCACACCCACATGGTGGCTCATGACTATCTGTAACTGTAGTTCCAGGTGATCCTCTACTCTTTCTGGCCTCCAATGACATTGCATGTGTATGATGGATACATATACATGCAGGCAAGACACTCATGCATTGAAAATAAAAATAGATTTAATAAAGTAAAATAGAACCACATTTTACTTTTTGTAATTTACTTTTATCATTTGTTTCACTCATCAGTCATATAGATCTGCTGCATTACTTTAATATTATTGGATTAGTGCTTTTCTTAATGAATGAAACAATTTGCCCTTTTATGATGACTTTCCTTAAAAAGTATTTTCAAATATCTTTGTATGATTATGTAATTAGCCATGAAAGAGACAATGTTACAGTGCAATCCCTGTGCTTATGGCTTTTAGAAACAATTTACCATGACATTATGGGAATTTCCCATGAAAATTTTAAAACATTAGTATAAGCCTTATGCTGAGAACAGTGCAGACCCGCTCTTAACACTAATGGAGACCAACATGCAGGACAGCACTCCCCAAAGAGGTGTAGAGGACTCGGCTCCATGCCTTCTCAAGCTTCTGGTGGTCATTGTTGTTACTTGATGTTCTGTTCTGTGGTCGTTTCAGTTTCTGCTTGCATCCATGTCTGTCTGTCTGTCTCTCTAAACTCCATTTCTCTAGTCTAAGGATAGTGTGATTGCAAGCAGATCTCACCTCAGGAATACTGAAAAAGCTTTTTAAACTCCTTATGTATTTGCTGTACAAGGTACCTTTATGGATCCTGGGAATTGGGACATGAACATAGTCACCACTTAGACTATTGCAGTTGTTGTCAGTGTGAGTCGAAGAGCATCATATCATAATAAGCCAGGATGATTGTCTGGTGTGAATGGTTCATTTTTAATTCTTCACAGTTTATTATGCATTAGTTCATTATTTTTCCTTAATTTTCCAGTTCCAAAGAAATCTTTAGTTAGTTTGACCCTTAACATCAATTAGAACTCTGAGTCATTTTAACTACAGCAAGAGTTTGCATCTAAAATAGGTTTTGTGTGGCTGACATTTTGAGGGCCATGTACTATTGACATATTTCTTGTCTGGATGTGAAAGTAAGTCAGTCAATAGGATTTAAAAGATGGTCCCCTTAGAAGAGGAGAAGAGCCCCCAGGATCAGATTTCAATTTTTAATTCCATTACAGGTTGGAAAAGAAAAGATTCGTTTCTACTTAGTTCCTGGTGTTAAATTGGATGAGCTTGCACCTCAACTTAAAACTGCACATTAATTTGGCATTGTTATACTGTTTTGTGTACGAAAGAAGAAATAGAGAACAAAAAGATCACATGGTTGTTCTTTTTTTTTTTTTTTTTTTTTTTTTTTTTTTTTTTTTTTTTTGAGACAGGGTTTCTCTGTGTAGCTTTGCGCCTTTCCTGGAACTCACTTGGTAGCCCAGGCTGGCCTCGAACTCACAAAGATCCGCCTGCCTCTGCCTCCCGAGTGCTGGGATTAAAGGCGTGCGCCACCACCGCCCGGCCCACATGGTTGTTCTTTATGGAGCATATTAATCTACTTAGCTGACACATAGGCCAGTGTTGGGAATATGTGAGAAAGAGTTCCTGCTTTAATCTAAAAATTCTGGGGGGATTTACAGTGGAGCCAATCACCTCCTAACCACACTTAATCTGGGCCTTCATTTGCTGAGTAATTTATTTCAGGATCTTATTTTTAAAGATTATATATGACAGTATCTGGTTAAGGTTTGAGAAGTTAAAGAAAAGGACCTTCACTGTTCATAAAGGAATGTGCTGATATTCTGCAGTGTGGAATGCAAGAGAACATTGAATAGAATGGAGCTAAAAGTTCATGTTTTCGTAATAATTATTATTAAAAACAAATTCCTAAACCATCATCCTGCATTGTTAAAATTAACAATAAGCTCATATATCATGTGTATATGTGTGTATGTGCCTAAGTGTCTATAAACTACACCATGATTAATCAAAATCAGTAGAGGAAGGATGTAACTAGATTATTTGAAACAACTAAGTTGAGGCTTCTGGATTATTAAACTGTTTGTTGAAAGGTACCTATGATACAGATTTTTTTTAAAATATGGACCAGTTAGATTGTACACTGAAAAATTTCACGGAGACATATCCATATTGATGAGCAGGTGGAATTTGTAGCATCTGGAGATTTTTCTGGGTTCCTTTTATTCTTGCTTCTTAACTAGTGTGTGTATGACAGGAGCAATTAATTATAGCCTGTGGGTCAGAACCCAGTTTTCAGGGATGCCTCAGGCTTTCCTCTGAGGCTATGCCCTGGACTCAGTCAAGTTTACTATGCCAGAGAAAAAAGAAGATATAAAGATTTCCTACATTAACATGGACTGGTACTTGGGATAGGCTGGAGTTCATGACGTACCCAGCTTTTGAAAACTATGGCAACTCCCAAGCATTCCAGTAGGACCAAAGCCCACACAAACTACTATACAGGCCCAGGAAGTCGACTGAGTGAACTTTTAGCTCCATTCCTTGTCAGTTTCTTAGATCCAGTCAGTTTCTTTAAGACTTCTTCACACTCTTTATTGGTCGCCACACATCCTTCATCCTCTTACACAAGCACCTTTGACCCAATGGTCACGATGTCTTTTTTCCACACTTCATAACAGGTAGCTCTATAACCACAGTGGGTGGCTGTTTATTTAATTGGAAGAATCTAGTTTTCACTTTTTTCCTTTGCTTACTCAGGTCAAAATTAAGCTATACCAAATTTTATATGTTCAGTACCATATTAAAGTTAATATCTTGAATAAAGATATTTGATCTATTAGACATGTAGACCTGATTAGGAAGTTTGGATTTCAAATCAGATCCCTAGAATATTTTTTAAACAGTGCACTGTTAAAACCTGTTTATTGATAGTATTTAGAATTACTTTGTTAAATATTGTATGTACACACCCATACTCACAGACATGTACACAGACACACACACACACACACACACACACACACACACACACACACACATGCAGCTGATGTAGCACCAAATTACTTAAAGAGATAAAAGGAATTGAGTGGTAGCTAATGAATGTCAATACATTTTCTTTTTCATAATGTAACCTGTCTAGTGCAGACTTGTGTGATGTGTCTGTATATGTCCCGGTGTGTGTTCATTTGTGTGTGAATTTAGAAGGAAGCCAGAGGCCAACCCCCATTGTCATTCCCCTGGAACCCTTTTCAGTGTTTTTGATGCAGGGTCTCTCCCTTGGATCTGGAACTCATCTGTTCGGCTAGACTGGGTGCCTAGCCAGCCCCAGAGATCCTCCTGTCTCCACTTCCTAGAGCTAGAGTCTTGAGAGTAACATATGCTGGACTAAATACATGGATGCTGGGAGTTGTGTTGAGTTCCTCATGCTGGCACAGAGGGCGCTTTATCCACTGAGCTGTTTATCCTGGTCCTATAATTTGTCATTAATTTTAAAGAAAATGATTTATCTTTGTCTTCCACTTTTCATGTTTGGCTTCGTGTGTGTGTGTGTGTGTGTGTGTGTGTGTGTGTGTGTGTATGTATGTACATATATACATATATATGTGACTGACAAGCATATCTATGTGCATACACATACTTATTTAATTATTGGAGTTATAAAAGATGTGCAGAATTACTGGGGTGAATTAAAGCTAGTGACAAATGAGGCAATGGAATACGGTTATACATTTAATATTTATTTCTCTCCTTTTTCTTTAGGTAATCTGGAGTCTGCTCTACCTCTCCCTTCATATTGCCTTCAAATATTGCTCATCAACATAAAGTGACCAGGCTTACATATACACAGCACCCAAAGAAATCTGTTAAAGTGGACATCTGACAACAGGTAAAAGAATATTTTTATTTCTGGTTCTTTTGGTCATACTTACAAATAAAATGGACAAAACATGGCAGCTTCCAAAAAAAATTATAGAACTGTTGACAAGGAAAATCATCGTGAAGGAGTATGTATGTTCAGACTGGATCTTGACAGTTGATCAACTCTAGCTGCTAGTGAGAGTTTCAGGAGGTGCTGTTTTCCAAGGGTAACAGGCTGAGAACTTCATACTATTAGTAGAGCGCCAGTAGTAAGTCCTCCCAAGGGCCTACGACCTGTCAACCCACAGGTTCTCAGGCCCAATAACTGGAAGATGCATATTCCGTGTTGTGGAGTGTGTCATAAATCAATCAGAAAGTGGTGGTTTGTTCTCAGGCTATCTGTGGCACTGGAGCTCTTTGGTTCACAGCTGGATAAGATTGATAGCACCTTTTCTCCTCTGGTGGTAATGCATACCTCCTTTAAGGGCTATGAAAGGCAGTAGGGATTAAACTCCAAGGCCCCTAACAACTTGATTTCTCTGTATCTGTGACTAAAGTATGGCAAATCTCCAGTCTCGGGGTGTTACCATCAAGTTCTAGACAGTAGCCAAGAGCAATCACAATAGACTTTAATATTTGAAGGTCTGTGGGACCTCAGTAGCCAACAACACCAATAAATGTAAACCACTCCTGGCTTTGGGATTTTTGGTTTTTAGCCTATAGTTTCTTGTTGGGGGATTTATGCTGCATTATTGGGTAATTATATTTTGGCTTTTTAAATACATGTACATGCTTAAATTTTAGAAATGTCCTGCAGTAGTTTTTTTTTTTATGATTTTCCTGAAGGTATTTAGTGTTAGTTATCCCTCCTTGAATTTCTTCCTCTACCCTCTATTCCTCCCCCATTTTCTATCATTGTGTTCTGTCTTGTGTCTCTTGAAAACCTCCTCTTGCTATGGCACTTTACTAATTTCCTGACCTGTATGGGTATTTCACATGAGACTTGTATATATAAAAACTCAATGCTAACATCCTCAAATGAGAGAAAATAGCTATTTGTCATTCTGGGTCTGGATTGCCTCTCTCAGAATTATTGTTTACAGTTTTATCAATTTACCTGTAAATTTTGGAATTTTTCCCTTTGTACAGGTGAATAACATTCCATTTTGTAAATGTGCCACATTTTCTTATCCATTCATTCATTGATTAATATTTAGGCTTTCAAATTACTGGTTATCATGGATAGAGCCTCATTGAACATGAATGAGCAACTATCTCTATAGTAAGATACAGAGTCCTTTGGGTATATGCTCAAGTGGTGTAGTTGTATCATGTAGTAGATCTGTTTCTAGTTTTTCCCAGAACTTCCATACTTCTGCAGTGATTGTCAAAGTGACTCCTATCACCAGTGAGTAAGTGTTCTTTCTCCATGGCCACACAAGAATTTTTTGTTTTGTTTTTTGTTTTGTTTTCATCTTAGATATTTTGACTAGGGTAAGATGACATCTCAAAGTTATTTTATTTTGCATTTCGTTCCTAAGAATTTTGGCCATTTGAGAAATATTTTCAGCCACTTATCTTGTGAGAACTTTCTATTTAGTTTGGTGCCTCCTTTATTAATTGAGTGTGTGTTTTCTTGATGTTTGGCCTTTTTACATTTTTGCATGTCTCCATACTAATCCTCTGTCAGATATATAGCTGGTAAAGCTTTTTTTTCTTTCTTTCTAATTGTGTAGGCTGCATATTTACTAGAAGTAAAACTCAATGTCCCATTTAGAAAAGTCAGGGGAAATCCTTACAAATGGAATGCATAAGAAGAAGAGCTGGATAATTTAAGCAAAGGAAATTAAAGATGTTAATAAGCACAGGATAGGAAATATGGGAAATGCAGGCCACTATACAGAAAATATGGGACACCATCAAAACACAGGATCTTCAAATTATAGGCAAAGAAGAGAGAGAAGAATCCAAGGTCAATGGCTTAGACCAGATTTGTAGAAAGGCTATAGAATAAAACTTCCCCAAACTAAAGGAGGACATAACCATGCAAATGAAAGAAGCCAGTGAACCCCAACTAGACAAGACCAAAAAAGAAACACGGTGTAGTATATAATAGTCAAACACTAAATATACATAATAAAGAAAAAAATATTGAAAGCTGCAAGAGAAAACATCCAAAAGACACATATAAAGGAAACCCCACCAGAATGACAACTGATTTCCTAGGAAAACTCTAAGAGCCAGAAAAGCCTGGAGTTCAATAATTCTAAAAGACCATGTCCGCCAACCTAGACAAATGTACCCAGAAAAACTACCTGGCATAGTTGAAGGAGAAATAAAAACTTTTCATGATGTAAACAACCTAAAAAATTTAATACTAAACACAAGATACTGAAGAGAGTACTGGAAGCATATTCTGAATTGAGGAGAGGAACAAACATAGCCAGTAGACTCTAGAAAGGAAAAAAGCCATGACTTGATGAACATACACCATAGGTAAGAATATAAACCAGCAACAAACATCCAATGACTTCAGTCTGTGCATAGCTTTCAATAATAACTCTATCAATGACTGAAACTCTCCAATCACAAGACACAGCAAAAGCAATCCCAACTAGAAAGAACAATACTGGATGGTTAGCTATTGCAAACTCAAAGACACATTTTAGAACTATAGTAAATAAAAACAATATTATACTGAAAAACAGAGAGACCAATGGAACAAAAGAGAAGACCCAAATAGGAGTAAGCATAACTACAGCCATCTGACTTTTGACATAGAGACAAAACACACATGGCAGAAAAGACAGCATCCTCAACAAATGGTGCTGGGAAACTAGATGTCCCCATTTAAAAGAATGAATGAAGCTGGGTCCATATCTATAATCCTGCCCATAAATTAGATTCAAGTGGATGGGTGATCTCAGTTTGAAACCCCAAACACTGAAACTGCTAGAAGAAGACCTAGTCGGTACCAAAGACCTTACAAAGTGCAAACTTAGTACCCTAACCAGACATGGGCCTAGGGAAAGGACTTTGCAGACAGAACTCCATTAACAAAGGAGTTAAGGCCAAACATTGACAACTCAGACCTCATAAAACTAAAAATTGTATAACAGCTAAGAAAAAAAAATTCAAGTGAAGAAAAAACCCCAAAGAAAATCTTTGCCAGCTATAAATCAGAGGATTAATACCCAGAATATACAAAGAGCTAAAACCAGCCAAAAGATGTTGAAAGATGACCTAGGAATCTAAACAGAGTTCTACATAGAAGACATAAATGGCTAAATGATACCTCAAAAAGGGATTCATTTTTCCTTAGCAATGAAAGGAATGTGGGTTAAAGTAACTTTGGAGATGTTACCTCACCCTAGTCGGAATGGCTAAGATACACTACTCTCTTCTTCCTGAGGGTAGAGAAAGGAGGAATATTTTAACTATAGTCTCATAAAATAAAGATTGTTACTGCATGCACGTTTGTATGTAACGTATATTACTAAATATAACTTGTTTCCAGCTGTATATAACCCTACCTGTATGTTTTCAGGGCTGATCATTTGGCCCTGGACAACTGCTGTGCACCCTGCTGGGGAAGACCACCTCTTCCCCTGGCAGCTTTCTTCAGTTGGCCATAGTTCTTGATATAGAGTTGAAGTATGAGTACCAGTTCTTAGCAGAGACAATTGTGTTGGTTAGTAGGTTGTTTGTTTTTATGGGAACTAAAGATATAGAGTTAGGTCTTTGGTAGTGTTTCTTTGTGTAGAAATCGTGTTTCCCCTTTGTTGAATGAGTGTTTAGATGCCGGTTTTCTATTAGCACAGTTTATCAAGACTGAACATCCGTTCAGTCTTGGGGCAACTCACTGATGGGGTTTGAATGGAGTATCAGAAGTGATCCCCGCTCAACCCAGGCATGTGGAGCAGACTTATACAGAGTGGGGGAAATGCTCATAGATAGTCCTCAGGAGGTAAGAACTTCCCCTCAAGTAGCTGGAGTGAGTGAAGTGGCTATGGGTCTCTGAGGTCCCAACCTGGGAGCTGGGAAAGCATGGAAGCACAAGACACAGGGTCCTCAAACAAGCTGCCGGTGTGGATGTGTTGGTGGCAGGAATCTTTCCTTCCTACATGGTGGGGAAGGGCCAGCCAGTAGAAAGGAACATGTATCCTTCAGGAGGTTGTGGGAGCAAGAGGAATTGGAGTGGAAGTGATGAGTCTGGTGTCCTTACCTGGAGAGTGGTGTGTGTGTGCTTGTGCGTGTGCGTGTGCGTGTGCGTGCGTGCGTGCGTGCGTGCGTGCGTGTGTGCGTGTGTGTGTGTGTGTGTGTGTGTGTGTGTGTATGCCTTCAAAAATGATAGGAAATGAGTCACGAAATTTTATGTCTAAATGTTTGCCATATCAAATGTGATCAAGACTACAGTCATTTGAACTCATGGATTAGTAATGAAAGATAGTTTCTTTTCCATTCTGCATTTTGGAAATTACAGGGCCACATCTTTACCACTAGTAACTGTCTGTACATTCTACAAGAAAAAGCTGTTTGCTACATAAATGCCTTCTGGTTTTTCCTCAGTGATTCTCCAGCTTTTCTTTTTTAGTTTACAAGCAAGAAGGAAATTGGTCACTTCACAATTTAATTTAAAAATGTGTAATGAGCTCAGATTCTTAAGACAATTTTCAAGGCCAATTGCTGTTGTCTACTTATTTAAACAATGTTTGCAATTCCCCTGTTTTCTTTAAGTATTTTGCATTTCTAAAGATGCTATTTTTGGAATGAAATGTCGTGAATTGATCAACATACAGAAATAGTACTATTTTAAAACCTAATCAGAAAATAGGAGAGATAATTAGTGTTGTGTCCAACAATTAAAAAAGATTATATCATACTGTAAACATAAACTTTTTAAAAGTAATTCTTAACAAATGTGGTATTTTTTTTACATAACTTGTAACCTCTATAGAATATTAACCTAATAGAAGTGTTTTTCATTAAAAAAAAAATACACACTTTATATGCATCAGTTGTCTATGTTTAAACCTTCCATCCTGTTGCTGGTTTCTTTGATATTTTAGTAGACTTTTGTTGTGTGAGTCTTTTTCCCCCTGGGAAGACATCATAGACACACACACACACACACACACACACACACACACACACACACACACACACACACACACACAACTTACTCCTAAATGGAGACTGCCGACAGACCAAAGTCACAGTCTCACCAAAGTACAAGTTGTTGAACGAGTGAGATTTTGGGGGGTGACTTACAGGTGTACAGACGATCCCTGAAAGCCCCGAAAGCCAGGAGCTCCCTGAAGCTCTGCAGACCTCAGAATCCCCTCTCCTTTTTAGCAGCCCTGTCAGCCACTCCTTCTGCAGCAGTCTGGCCCTCTGCATCCTTGGGTAGCGGCCCTGGGGAGAGGTTCTGCTTTCCCTGACTTGTGAAGTTGGCTGGCCTCTCCAGTCTCACACATCTCCTGTCTCTGTCCTGGAGGGAATGTTTCAGAGGACACTGTGAACACAATAGTTTCAGTGTGTCGAAGCTTCCCTGTGCTAGCCGAGATTTTAACTACTGTGACAAAATACCTCATGAAATTAACTTTAATGGAGGGAAGAAGTTAGTTTTATCAGATGTTCCAGAGGCTGTCATCACCGTTGCTTCATTTCCTTGTTGGGGACCACTGTTGACAAATTGTCCACCCCAATAAACCTATCTGGGGTCAGAGGACAGAGCAACCACTATGTTAAACATAGGTTAGGCAGTGGTAGCACACGCCTTTAATCCCAGGAAGTGATGGCAGGAAACAAAAAAGGTCTATAAGGCGTGAGGACCAGGGACTAGAGGCTTTTTTAAGCTTTTAGGCTTTTAGCAGCAGTTCAACTGAGATCCATTCGGGTGAGGACTCAGAGGAAACAAGATCAGCTGAGGAATTGACAAGGTGAGGTTGGCTGTGGCTTGTTCTGTTTCTCTGATCATTCAGCTTCCACTCCAATACCTGGCTCCCATATTTTTTATTAATAAGACCCTTTAAGATTTGTCTTGTTAGCTGGGCGGTGGTGGTGCACGCCTTTAATCCCAGCACTTGGGAGGCAGAGCCAGGCGGATCTCTGTGAGTTCGAGGCCAGCCTGGTCTACCAAGTGAGTTCCAGGAAAGGCGCAAAGCTATACAGAGAAACCCTGTCTCAAAAAAACAAAACAAAACAAAAAAAAACAAAACAAAACAAAACAAAAGATTTGTCTTGTGCCTGTGGTGTGACACCTTGTACAGCCTTGGTGCAGTGGGAAGGGACTTGGACCTACTTAGGCTCAGTGAGCTGGGCTCTGCTGACTCCCCATGGGAGACCTTAATTTGGGGGATGTGGGGACACAGGGTGGCTTGGGAAAGAAGGCTGGGGGTGGGAGGAGGGAGGAGGGGGGTCTGTGGAGAGCATGAAGAATGAGTAGAAAATTTCTTAATAAAGAAAAATAAAATAAAATAAAGATTGTCTTACAGGGGACCACTGTGAGAACACCATGATAAGGGAGCATGTGATGTATTATACCAAAGGTAATCATGATGGATGCCATGAAAAAAGTCAGAAAAGGCCACAGTCCCAGAGTTCTCTACAAAAGCTCACCCCAGGGACCCAACTTCTTTCTCTTAGGTTCCCCAACTTAAAGGTCCAACTTTTTCTCAACAGCACTAAAGGCCTGTGCCTAATCCTCCAGCACCACAACACTGAGGGATGTTTAAGATCAAACCATACAATTTCTACGGAGTGAAATTTTTAGGCTAATGATGTTTTGAAAATCAAGTACTCTTGACTGTTTCAATCCTAAAGGACATTTAGATACACAGAATATAATAAAAATGTCAAGTGGTTTATCTTTAACTTATTTTGTTCCCTGAGTACATAATAAAGTAGACTTATTTCTAATTCTTTGTATATGGCTTTACCAGCAGTTATTAATGATATCCAGTTGCTCACATATTACTTACACTAAGTTTCTTAATATTTCTGAAATTTGTCTCATCTTAAAAATAGAGTATCAAAGGATGTCTGTGGAAACTAAATTGATTAATAAATGCTCACTGGAGATAATAAGGACTTGTTAAGCAATAACAGTGATTCAAAATTTATAAAGGTATATCCCTTGATCCATATCATTTTTGTGTACCATAATTATATTTAGGTTAACTTGAATATCATGCATTTAGGTCAGTAGAATAAGAGATGCACAATTTGAAATGTTTTTAATATTTTAAATAGTTAATTTTATTTTTAAGTTGAAAATAGTTTTTTCTTATACTATGTTCTGATTATGATTCCCCTTTCCCCAAATATTCCCATATACTTACTACCTCCCCACCCTCCTAAATCCACATTCTTTCTTGGTCTCTTTAATTAGAAAACAAACAAGCATCTTAAAAAAAAATAAGAGAAAAATAAAACTTGGCAAATCTGAACAGGACAGAACAAAGAAAAAAAAGAAGAGCCAGAGCTAAATAAAGCACAAGAAACATATATAGACACAGAGACACAAGGCTCAGCTCACAACAAAAATATAAAATGTGTGTGTGTGTGTGTGTGTGTGTGTGTGTGTGTGTGTGTGTGTGTGTGTGTGTATGTATGTGTCTGTCTGTTTGCTGTGGGGCACATGTGGAGGTCAGAGGACAGTTTTCAGGAAGTAGTTCTCAGCTTCCACCATATTGGTTCCTGGGATTGAACTCAGGTTGACAGAATTGGTTGCAAACACCTTTCCCTGATGAGTTATATCTTGCTGACTCTAATTTGAATGTTGTATTGTTACTGTGCTTGGCTCTAGCCCCCAAGCTCCTCCCTCTCTCTTTCTATGTAGTTTGGAATAACTTGTTATCATACTTTATCTTCTTGGGGACACTAGAGGATTAAAAGAATCTGCCTTTTCCATTACCACTCAGAAATTCTGTTACACTCATTTCTCACCATCTTACTCTCCCAAATAGAATGGGGGGGGCACATTGTCATTCATTTCCTGAGTTCTTTTTAACTGTAATTTGGGAGTGCTTTAAAAATTATCATCTGATCCGGGTGGTAGTGGCACACACTTTTAATGCCAGCACTCAGGAGGCAGAGGCAGGAAGAGCTCTGTGAGTTCAAGGCCAGCCTGGTCTACAGAGGGAGATCCAGAACAGGTACCAAAGCTTCACAGATAAACACTGTCTTGAAAAATAAATAAATAAATAAATAAATAAATAATAAAAATTATCAATGTCTGACTAAGCAGTGTATGTAATAGAGAGCTAAAAACAATACAATATAAAATATAAACTTTCTATTAACCATGGTTCAATGAAAAGTGAAATCTTTTTTTTTTAAATTATGATTTATACTTCCTGTATTTCCTATGTTGTCTAAAACTTGTGTAGCTACAATAGAATTTTACGTCAACTCAAAAAAATTCATAAAATAACTCATAAAATTGCAGTTGTATCTCTGGGATTCATGAAATTACATTATCATTTAAAATAATCAGGCAAATAGTCATATGGAACAATAATGAAAATAAATATGTACAATTTTTAATAATAGCCATTAGACTGAGTGTTTTTCCTCTTCTGGGCTTTCTTCTCTACTCTCTGTTATAGGCATCATTAAACTGCACTTGTCAGTACTAGGTGAAGAAAGTGTCATCGGAAAAACCATACTCAATTATGTCTGTCATCCATGACATTAAAATTCAATTTGGATAAACACTCAGTGCAGACCATGTAGCCAGGAAACCTTACAGATTTTATTTGTCCTTTACAATAAAATCTTGAAGACCCTTATCTTATAATTAAAGTTGATAAAAACACCATTATTGATTCTATTCAAAGGCTTGTGGGATCTAGTCACCTTTGTGACAGCATGTGAGGACTCAGAGGATATTAGACTAAATTATATACATCTGACCTCAAAGAAAAAAAATACTGAAGGATCTCACTTTTTTTGTTGATTGTTAAAAAGAAAACAAAATCTGAAATCACAGGCATCAAGAATAGAGGGGTATTTTCTTAGGGTTGGAGGCCAAAAAAAAAAAAAAAAAAAAAGAAGAAGTTGGTATTCAGAAGAAGGTGCTGTTCAAAGGCTCAGAGCTGCAGCTGTGCAGGATCTGTTAGCGTCTGTCTCCTTCATATCACAGAGTACTGACTGTATGCCCTGAACCTGCTAAGATGGTAGACTAGGTAGTCTCAACACACACATGTATATGGGGGGGGGGGGAGAGGGATGGAGGGAAGGAGACAGGATGATGGACAATGCATGAGGATATGAGTGTCAGGTTAAATTGAAGGTTGTTGTCATCTAGACATTAAAATATCATTACTTGCACCTTATACACTCGTGTGTGTGTGTGTGTGTGTGTGTGTGTGTGTGCATCTGTGTGTGAGAGAGTGAATGTAAAAACCATCTACACATTTACAAAAGCAGGAAATAAACATATCCATAGGCTGATTTTGGAAAACACTTTGAGATACACACACACACACACACACATACACACTCACACACACACACACACACACACACACACACATATAGCTTAATAACAGGAATTCTTGAACACAGGAATGTTGCTTTTTTTCCTATATTTCAATGTAGCATCTCTGTATCCCAAGAGGATGTGGAGGCAAGGTTTTCACTGTGTGTAATTTCTTACATATTAAACTGTGTATCATCTCCCTCCACAGGAGAGTATTTAAGTGTTCTTAGGTGTGTACATATGGAAGAGACTTTTCTCTATTCCCTCAACAAACCAGCACATTTATCCGTGTAGCTGATAGAAGTTCTTGGCAATGAAAAAGGAGGAGACATATTTACAAAACTGTTGGTAGTATTAATTTTGGAAAGGTAACATTTTAAATTAAGCTATTATCAGGGCTTGGTGATGGCTCAGTTGTTATGTGCTTGCCACAAAATTGTGAGGACCTGAGTTCAGTCCTCCAGAATCTGCATCACAAACAAAAAACAACAAAAACCCAACAATTCATATCATCGCAGTGCTGGGGAAGCAGAATGAGGAGAATTCTTGGAGTGGTTGCCCCTAAGAAGAGCCACATCAATAAGCTCCTGATACCATGAGAGATCCTTTCTTGAAAAATAGGTGGAGAACAATTGAAGAAAATACCATATATCAGCACCTGACAACACACACACACACACACACACACACACACACACACACACACACACGCACACGCACACGCGCATACACGCACACATACACACACATGCAGACACGCACACATACACACATATGCACACATATGCAGACACACACACAGACACACACACAGAACAAAGCATTTTTATTATTGAAGTAAAGTAGTTATATTTCCTTTATGCTTAAAAGTGAGATTGGATTAATATTTATTTTTGTTTACTTGGCACTTCAAGGTTATATCTGTCTTTCTTAACTTCACTTTCAAATGTTTTCTTTTGAAATAAATAAGTACTTTCAGATTTTTCCTCTTAATAATCAAGGCTGTATATCTCACATTTTCTGTTTTCATTTTTTTGGTAATTTTCCAAGCACAAGAATACTAAATATATTATTAATAAAGTAATATTGTAGTTACAATGAGAATGCTATGCCGGCAGCTACCAAGGGTGGTACACAAAAACAAACATACATAGAGGATGAACTGTTGTTTCTTTTTCAATAGGTTACTTAAGTCTCCAGAAGAGGTGCAGAGATGCCATCGGAGACTGGTATACCACCTCCACACCCCCTCCCTCCGGATGGAGGGTGGGGTTGGGCAGTAGTCGGAGCATCCTTTATCTCCATTGGATTTTCATATGCCTTCCCCAAAGCTGTCACAGTGTTCTTCAAAGACATTCAGGAAATGTTCCACGCCAGCTACAGTGAAATTGCGTGGATATCATCCATCATGCTGGCTGTCATGTATGCAGGAGGTAAGGTCCTTGGTGTAAGCATATAGTTCTTTGTTAACACATACTTTCTATTGACCATGTGCACATACTAAAACTCTTATTATATTATTATATCAATCAGTTAAAACCAATCAAAAGCATAATTAGAACTGCATTTTAATGATTTTTTTATGATTTAGCATCATTATCTATTTACTTCACTTTGAGTCTTCATAGAATATTTTGTGGAATGGAGAATTGTCTGTACAAATGAGGTTTGCCACATTATCAAGATTCCAAATGAATCATCTGCTGTTCAGTTTGGAATGAACGCCATACTATAATGTAGGAATTATTTCTCACCATTGCTCTAGCTGGCAAAAATGCTTTTTTATGGAAAAGGAAATGCATATTTCTGTCAGTTTATAAACCTATAACATACTCCATTTTGCACTGCCCAGAAGGACTGCTTGCATGTACTTTCTACACACATTCAAGTTTTATATGTGAAATAATTCCTTAATGCTTTAGGACTCCCAAAATAATGACATCGTTTTATTTAAGTGGCTGCTTCCAATTATCTTGTTAGAGTCTATGTTAAAACAGGAGTGTAAGTCATGAGAGAGAATGAATATATCAAACCACCCTGCATTGGAGTGTTAAATAATGGAAATTCCTCATTATTACATGATCTATTGTCTTTAAAATATTCTCAACAGTAGACCAGACTTTTATAGATTTTTTTTTATAAATCATTACTTAAAATACATGGGTTTTAGAATTTTCATTTGTCAACTGGTAATTTAACTTCAAGGGACAGTTATAGACTCAGAATATAAGAATTCAAAGGTATCATATAAATCACCTACTGTCATTTTTTTATTATATAAGTAAAGATAATGTGATCCCTAGTGAGGAAGACAGAACATTAGCAATAATAACTAATATTTATTAGAATTTGCTCTTGGCCAAGGCCTCGTTCCACACTTGATTTGTGTGATATTTCCTAATCCTCTTGACAGCCCGGGAAATGATGGCCACCTTTCTGTTCTGGGACTAAGGACACAGACAAACTAGCTTTTCAAAGACACAGGGCTCATTTCTGGATAAGAAATCTAAGCCTTCAGACATGTGGCCACTGTGCTTCCATCCTCCCTCATCTCTCTCCCTCTGTATATCTACAAAATGGTGGAGCTAGGCTAAACCAGTTCTTTAAAAAACCCAATACAAATGCTCGTGCCTTGCAGGATTGGCACACGTTCCACCTGGACCAGAGGTGTACCATTTATTCTTTAAGATGTTATCTCTCTAATGTACTACCCATATAAACATTTGATCCATAAATAATCCTACCTTATGTATATGTGTGTGTGTGATAAATGTCACAGTGTCAGTGTGTATTTTCCACTTTTTTGTTTTAATGATTCTAGATTAATAAGACTGACATGTTTAAACTGTTGAGTCTTTATTTGATTATCAAAATTATCATTTAAATTCTATTTGAGCATGTATTTGAAAAACTATGCTTCAAAAAATCTTTTCTGGCAGTCACTTTTGGATGCTTATTTTAAGGATTATAGCTGTTATTTCTTACATGTATATCAAGATGGTTGTTCTTGTGAAGTGCATCTTGTTCTTCGATAGCTCTAGCGTTCTTTGATGATGCTGTGTTGGGCCAACCCATTTGTCTTGACCTGACAGGTCAGGGTAAATATTAAGATACCTCTGAGATAATTTTTTCCTGCATTTTAACTGGATGCCTCTAGAGCTAGACCTTGGCCCATTGAATTTGGATATCAGGCTCCATTATGCCTTTCACAATGTTCTGTTGAAAATATTGTTGACTGACAGTCAGGATGCAGCCTTTGATGTTGTTAAGGCCAATATCTGAGTCATCTTCTTTCAACCTTTGATAATAAGAATAACCCCCAGTCCTCAGTGACTTCAAGACAGGCCAAGTTCATTTCTTGCTCATTCAGTGCTCTCTGTCGTACCTGCATTAGCACCCATGACTTTGTGCCCTTCTCTAAACCTACGCCCTCTATGAGATGAAGAGAAGGGATATAGCATGGAACATCATCTGCAGTGTTTGGTGTCCAGGCTTGGAATTTATGAGCTCCATTTCTAACTGTATCCTACTGGTCAGAACTGATGATTGCCCTACATGGAGGCAGGGCCCACAATAATTGAAAGCTTCCTGGAAAAATGAGAACTGGCTAACATACAGTAAGTCCTGGACAGAGTTTCCTGCTCAACAGCTGTTCTCTGCAAGCAAAGGAGAGCTGGTTTATAGAGCTGCTGCTGTCATGGCACAGACTGTGAGCTGCCTAGATCAAAAAGGGTATGAGGGTAAAGAATGACATCATTTTAATTTAATTCACCATGACTGTAATTTTTTCATATTACTTAGTGTATGTGACATCTTAATGAATAATATTTATCCGACTCATCATATATAAATGATTTTGTGAATACATTTGTTTCATTTTAAAGATGTGTATAGTATAAATTTGAAGAGGCACAAAGGAGAAACAGAGTGTCTCATGTATCCCATTCTGGCCTTGATCTCATTGTATAAATGATGATGGAAGGCTGACCTTGAACTTCTGATTCTTCTGCTCCTACCTTCCAAGTGTGGGTTATGTATTTCAGGGGTTGAACACAGGCATAAAGGCTAGATAAGTTCTCTAACAATGGGAATACATCTCCATCGCTCAAAAGAAAACTCTTGAAATTAGTAAGTACAATGGCAACGTGATATTTATAATTTTTAGGAAGATCATTAAAATATTTACAGTAATAGAAGAATCAATTATGTCTAACATAAAGTGAATAGGTGTTTTGGTTTTGGTTGCTTTGAGAAAATAACTTAAGGCATGTAAAAATACTGTGTCGGAACTAATAATGGTGACATCTAGGAGAGATACAACTAAGCTCTTGGAATATGGCCCCCAATCCTCAATTATCAGGACTGCAGCATTTTGCATGCCATTCCTGGTTATGTGGGAAATTATTCGACCTTGTGGTATTTAGCTTAAAACTGTAAATACAACCAAGGCCAGTGTCTAGTGAGAAGAAAACCCATTAAACTGCAATCCATACTGCTGGATATAGAGTTTATCCGTTCACCTAGTTCCTCAAACTGACTGTGTTTTATGTCTTATCCATATAACCAGGCTTTGGTCTCTGAACAAAAAAGTGTTTTGCATGAGGCGTGCTGGTGACCACCCAGAATCCCAGGACTCAGTCAGCAAAGGCCAGGAGGAGTGCCACAAGCTTAGGGCTAGCCTGGTCTATGCAGCAAGTTCTAAGTCAGCCAGGGCTACACATTGAGACCTTTGCTCAGAAACTAAAGGGGCCAGCTGTGATATGGTCCATGACATGAATTCAAGGCCAGCCTGGTCTACATAGTGAATTCCAGGAAGGCAGAACTATGTAGAAAGACCCTGCCTGAAAACAAACAACCAAAAGACGAATAAGTAAATGAATAAGAAGAGCAAGGGAGTCTGCTAGGAGATTGTTTCGTCTAAATATATAACAGGGGTGCTGCATCCTTGAAATCTCAGCAATATGTAAAAAATGAAACACAAACGGTTTCGACACCAGTTGACATTTCAATGTAGCTGGGTAAAATTTCATAGAATCCTACCCCTAGACGAAAAGTTACAAGAAATTAATGACTGGTGAGGGAAGGAACATTAATCTTCCCTAGGGATGAGCCTCCTAATTGGTAGTCATGGTTACCTAATATCAAGCGGTCAGTCCCACAAACATATACATACAAATAACACTAAATGGACCCCACAGGGATATACCCACACAAAGACAGCCACATAACAATAATAACTAAAGATAAAAGAGGCCATGAATCTGAGTAAAGGAGAGAATGGGAAGGGCTGAAGGGGAGGATAGTGAGAGGAAATGATGTAATATAATTAAAAATGTAAGGGTGCTGGTTAGCTTTCCATGATTGATGGCTTCCGGCAGGGGTGTGGGAAGGGAAGGACTCTGTTCTATCCAAAGGGCAGGCCACTGAGAGTTTGAACATGCTCCAGTGAATGTATAGATAACCCAAACTGGACTTGTTTGTTTTTTTGGTTTATTTTGGTTGTTTTGTTGTGGGGGGAGTTCACAAGGGTAGGGTGGCTGACAATGAAGGACTGGGAAGTGAGTGTGATTGGGATGATCAATGTGAAGTTCCCAAAGAATCAATAAAAATATTGTGTTGAAAAAGTATTTACATTAATGAAGTATAAAATAAGACAAAAGCAGAAATGAAGGAAGAAAAGCATTGGTACTAATAAGAATAATACATTTTCATATTAAGCTATAATCTTTTATTTTAGAAAATTATATGTATATGCATAACAACAATTAATTAAAAATAGGCATGATTTTGAAAGAGAGCAAGCAGTGGTTTATGAAAGGGTTTGGTAGGAAGAAAGGGAAGGGAGAAATTATATAATTATACTATTATCTCAAAAATAAAAGAAAAGGAAAAGAATACATTTATAAAGCCAAGTAACAGAAAATGATCTGTCCAGACAACATTCCACACAAAACATGGTGACAGATTCATGAGAGCTTTAAGAATGCCTTCAGAGTGTACTAGCCTTTGGTGATTTCTCATAAATGGGGCGTTGGCTAATCTAACAGAGAATGAACAGAAGAAAATCATGATGTGTAATCCAGAATCAGAGAGACAATTTTTGTTTGTGATGGTTTACAGGTTCTTTTTGGCTAAAAGAAGAGGCACTATGCATTTAAAAAGCACAATGCTTTTTGAGATATAGGTCAAATACTGTGAGATTTATTCATTTAACATGTGAAAGTTGGTCGATTTTTGGTATGTCCATAAAGTTGTGTCAATACTGCCCCAGTTAATTGGAGAACATTTTTGTCACTTCAGAAATAAGTATTGTAGACCCCAGTAGTTTCTTCCTATTATTTAGCCTTCTGTCTTAATGAATGTGCTTATTCTTAGCAGTCTTATAAATGTCCTTTTTCATTACCTCCTTTCACAAGGTAAATTCATATTATAG